AAAAAAAAAAAAAAAAAAAAAGGTGAATTGATTTAAAGACAATTCGAAGAAAAATATTAACTCTATAATTGAATAGATGGTATATAGATATAGCAAAAGCTACAAAGGTAGTATTTGAATGACTGAAGAAAGTTTAATGTTTCTAGAATTCATTTAGTGATTAAATCTTATGTGTGGTTACTTACTACTGATATGAATAGTTATTTAGAGGTTAAGTACCAAAATTAACAAAGGTTAAGATTTTAGTTCTTAAGCCAGTGGTTCCTGGTAAGGGTTCTGCTGCATACTTGTATACCTAAACCTGCAACACCTGTGCCAACAAATTTCATCAATGTATAAAATTCCTTTTTGGTAAACCTGAGTATACATATTGCTATATTTATTAAGCACGGTGGTGGATTAGGCACTATTTATAGCTCTGTGGATAAGAAATAGCATAGTGTATTGTCAAACGAGGACCAAAAAGAGACTAGATTTTATGGATGATGGGGAGCATTGACACACAAGTATATAAGCTTTGTTTCACTAGTAAATAATTATAATCAAATGGCAACACAGTACTTAAACTGTGTAATAACTATGGATTACTTTATAGACACCAAGACATTTTATACTGTGGTAGTGATTCAGTGACTTGGACTGCCAATATTTTAGTGTTGTTTTTAAGTGTTGTTTTGAGTCTTTTTGTCTATTCTCAGCTTACCATCAAAAACCTTAGTATTTGAAAATGATTCTGCAAAGACAAAAATTTGCTACATATGTATACAATTTCATCTTCTCTGTGCAAGTCCTATACAGGCCCTTCTTTCCCAGTTGCTCCCCAACCTAATTTCCTTCAAACCCTAACTCAAATATTATTATTATTATTATTATTTTTAGTTTTCCCTAAGTTAAATTAATTATACTTTATATTTAATGTATTATACTTCATATATTTATAGCAGTTTTGTGGTATGGTTTTATACTTTTATCTGTCTGGACTGCAAAGTCCAAAATCTTATTTTGTATTTTCTTTCTCCTCGCTAATT